TCATATTGGTTAGGCTGGTCTCGAATTCCTGACCTCAGGTGATCCATCCATCTCGGTCTCCCAAAGTGCTGGGATTACAGGCATGAGCCACCATGCCTGGCCCATTTTCTATGTTTTATCCTGTATTTTTACTGTACCTTTTCTGTGTTTATGTTGAGATATGGTACTTTTTTTTTTTGAGACAGAGTTTTGCTCTTACCACCCAGGATGGAGTGCGGTGGCACAATCTTGGCTCACTGCAACCTCTGCCTCCTGGTTTCAGGGGATTCTCATGCCTCAGCCTCCTGAGTAGCTGGGATTACAAGCGCCTGCCACCACACCCAGCTAATTTTTGTATTTTTAATAGAGTCGGGGTTTCACCATGTTGGTCAGGCTGGTCTTGAACTCCTGACCTCAAGTGATCTGTAGATATGGTACCTTTTCTAAGTTAGCTATGTTTAGATACTTATCATTGTGTTATGGTTGTATGCATTATTCAGTACAGTGTGCTATAGAGGTTTGTAGCCTAGGAGGACTAGCTATACCTTGTAGTCTGGGTGTGTAGTGGGCTGTACCATCTAGCTTTGTGTAAGTGCACTCTGTGATATTTACACAACAATTGCCTAACAGCATGTTTTTTCAGAATGTATCCTCATCTTAAAGCAACACATGACTTATGTGTACATGTGTACAAACACACACATCATTTAAGCAACTCAAGTGTTATGAGGGGAAAAAACAAGTGTGTATGGGGAGGCAGATTTAAATCCAGGTGAGTAAGTTTGAACACCTACATTAAACTTTCAGTTCTCTATGTTAATAGAATTAAGTTCCACAGCTGATATAACTGACTTCAATCTGTAAAGCCGAGCCTGCCTTGTAGGGTCTTATGAGGGTTCCTATTTGTGTGTATTCATATTTTGTCAAGCATTTGGAATAATGCCTGGCACATAGTAAGCACTTGGTGACCGTCGATGAAAGAAGTGAGACTCCAGGCTTGATCCTTATAGGCCAGGTGAGCAGGGAGGCCCCTTTTCATTCTTTGACGCCTCAGATGAGGAAACGGCTGTTGGAGGGGATTTCACACCTTTCAGAAGAAGGCCCCGTCGTTCCAGTTGACGCTCGTGGAGATAGGACTCAGTCAGTAAATGCTTCTTGAATGAAGCATTAGGTGGTTGGACCAGATCTGCCTTTCCCATGGGAGGAAAGAGATGATTTTAGGTGTTACACAGATGTTTATCATTTTTGTAGTTAGCTAATTATTACAGTGTTGTGTTAGCAGAAAATATTAGGCAGCACCTCAGACCTCGGTATTTTTAAAAAGTGAGTGATTTAAAGACACACTAAATTGAACAGGTGGCATGTGAATGTCATGGAAACTGAAAGCATTGGTGGATTGAAAGAAAACCGGGAAAATCTTTGAGGTCTTTCCAAATCTGAGATGTTTGATTCTTTGAGTCTGGCTTTAAGTGTGAAATCAGGATATACAAATAGAAGTGATATTCTCTGGGTTTTGGGAGCAGAGACGTGTAATGGAAATGGACAGGCAGAACTGGATGTACAGTGTCATGCAGGGTGCAGAGATAACAGTGTATTAGCACTTTGGTGTCTGCTGTGGGCAGCCTTGTGTGTGTATGTATTCTCTAACAAAATTGGGAACATCCTGTACATACAATTTTGCAACCGGGTTTGTTCACCTGATACTGTCACTCCGTGTTCAGTGTTTCTGCAGAGAAATCTTTGTGCCCATTCTTGATGATTTTCTTAGGATTAAGTCCTAGAAATGGGATTGTGTGGTCATTGTGTATGCATGTGTTTCAGGCCTTTTATACTTGTCATCACAGTGCCTTGCAGTATGATTGTGCCAGTTTAAGATTCCGGCAGCTTGAGTGCCCTCTTTCTTATCCCTCTCCAAAGTTCGATTAAATAATAGTTTTGTTGGACTGGGCGTGATGGCTCACGCCTGTAATCCCAGCACTTTGGGAGGCTGAGGCGGGTGGATCACGATATCAGGAGTTCAAGACCAGCCTGCCCAAGATGGTGAAACCCCATCTCTACTAAAAAATACAAAAATTAGCCAGGCGTTGTGGCAGGCACATGTAATCCCAGCTACTTGGAAGGCTGAGGCAGGAGAATCGCTTGAAACTGGAAGGCGGAGGTTGCAGTGAGCCGACATCACGCCATTGCACTCCAGCCTGGGCCACAAGAGCAAAACTCTGTCTCAAAAAAAAAAAAAAAAGATAATTTTGTTGCCAGTTTGTTCAGCAGTTGATTCACTTACTCTCCAGCTGATATCCTGTACATCCTGAAACTTGCTGGTTTGTCTCCCTTCAGAACTCCCATCGGCAGCCCCTGACAGCACTCTCCTCCTCATTGCACTCCAGCCTGGGCCACAAGAGCAAAACTCTTGTCTAAAAAAAAAAAAAAAAGATAATTTTGTTGCCAGTTTGTTCAGCAGTTGATTCACTTACTCTCCAGCTGATATCCTGTACATCCTGAAACTTGCTGGTTTGTCTCCCTTCAGAACTCCCATCGGCAGCCCCTGACAGCACTCTCCTCCTCACTGCCCGACACTGGGTGGCAAATCTTTTCATCTTGGCCACTCTGATAGGCTGGACAGTGAGATCCTTCTTCCTAGGGTGCATGGAAACCTTTTGCAGTCACCTGGGTTTGCAGAGTGGGAGGAGGAAAGTGTTAGGGGCACTAGGAGGTGGGAGCCGGTGGGAGATTCTGGCTGGGTATGTTTGCATTATGGACCTGTGCATCTCACCACTCTCTACCACTGTGCACCCCTGTGACCACGGACAGGGTGCTCCTGAGGTCAGTCCCAGATGCCCGCCAGGCCCCGCATCCTGAGCCTGCTTCTCCCTCTGGCCTCCTCTCCAGTTTCTTGCTGTCCTCCGGCCTCCCTGCCTCCTCTCTGTACTGGAGGCTCAGGTGTGTTCCCCGAGCCTTTCTGCCTGCCCTTCGTCCTGTCTGGAATGCCTTTTGGACACCTGACTCTCCCATTCTCCAGGGCTCGCCACGGCCATCCCCTTCTGAGAGAGGCCTTCCCCTGTCACCTTCATCCCCTCTATGAGTCACAGCCTTCATTCCTCATCATCTTGTAATTATCTGCCTCTCTCCTTTCTCTCCTTGTTTACTGCCGTACCCCCAGTGCCTAGCACTTGGCAGACACCTACATGTTCCTTGACTAAACTTCAGTATTGAATAGTGTGAAGAATCCAGAGGTGAGAGGATAGAACTGCTCTTCATTGTCCAAGAGTCCAACAAGTTACGGCTTCCAGAGGGAGGCAAATTGATCAGCTTTTCAACAGAGCTGCTTAGCAGTGGGGTGGGTGCCTTCCTTGGGGAAGTAGTCAGGCAGTGACTTGTTGTTGCATTGGTTCTTGCACTGGATGTTAGGGTTGATGAGATCATTTCTAAGGTCCCTTCCAATCCTTAAAACTGTGGGATGAGTACTCTCATCTGTGGGTTGCTGGGCTATCATTCTTGTTTCCACTGCAGATGTGGCTTTTACCACTAGATGACACTATATGATTTCTTTGAAATCAGCGTTTCCCAAACTGCCAACCACAATGAGAAAATATGTTTTTCATTGCACTTACACCCTCAACACACACTTGAAACAGAAGTAGGCTGGGCACGGTGACTCACGCCTGTAATCTCAGCACCTTTGGAGGCGGAGGTTGGAGAATCACCTGAAGCCGGGAGTAAGTGTCATGAATATCTTAATCCTTACTATATGTAATGCATCCTATTTTTTATTTTACTTTGTTCGATATTTAAAAAAATGCAGATTTACAAACAAACTGATTTTATTGTATTAATGGGTCATGACTGTTTGAAAACATTTTTAAAGTATGCTGTTATAAAACTGTGTAGGTATGCTGTTTTCCTTGGACAGTCTGGGCTTGTGTAACAGATCGTGTCCATTAGTGAATATTTTGCATGTTTCTGTGGTGAGTTGCTGCATGGAACAGCTGAACATGTGCTTCTTTTTGGGTGCCTGTGGATGAAAGAGGTTGGAGATTGTGCAGAATTCAACACTTACTGTAGTCAGGCCAGAGGTAAGCCTTAGTAGTAGATTTAAAGCTATATGATCTGCTTCTAGAAGCTCGGAGACATGACACACCCATACCCTAAATTTCACCTTACTTAGCAGGCAACAGGAAATGGGAGTATTACTCAGGATATCACTAGGATGCTTTGGGCTGCAAGTAACAGAAGCCTGACTCACATTGGCTAAAAGGGTGAAGATACTTACTGTCTCACAAAATTGATGTTCAGAGGTAGAGCAGTCCGCAGGCCCAGAGCAGCTGAGCATGGCCTTCGGGATCCAGGTTCATGACTCCTCAGTCGTCCTAAAGCTGGTTCTACTCATGGTTGCAAGAAGGCTTCCTGTGCTAAACGAAGCCTTAACTCCTTGTGTATAGACTGGGTAGAGAGAATTAAGGCTCCTGTGGCATTTTCCACATTGTTTTGTTCGTGCTTACTGTGTTCATTTGTTCCTAGTTTCCCCACTCTGACCTCTCTAAGTGGGGTAAGAGGACGGCACCTAATACAGAGTCAGGAGAAACACTTGGGTTAATTCATGCTGTTTGTCGAGTGTTTCTGAGTCGCCCTTCCTCTGGGCACAGGCCTTTTCATTTAGTGGAATTAACTGACTAACTGTGGCCATGAGTTTGCGGAGTGAATAAATGGCTGCACATCTTCTATATGAAGCGTGAAGTGAGGTTATTTGCTATGTAGGGTCCTGGGAAGTGAATTAGCAATATGAGGAAAGGGAGTGAGAAGGCCCACTGCGGGCAATGTGATGGGTGATGTAATGTGAACGTAAAGGTGAACGGATGGCTGCGTCTTCACATGTGTAACGGGACACTAAACATGCACTTGGCCTTTTGAGGTGGATGGTTGGTTTTTGTCAAGTTCCTTGATCTGGTTCCTGGAAACTTGGCAGTGGACCTTGGCCTGAACCTACTCAATCTCTGCTCACCTTCCTCCTTTTTCCTGCCTTCCAGGTTTGCAGTAAGCATTGGCTACTGGCACGACCCTTACATCCAGCACTTTGTGAGACTGTCTAAGGAGAGGAAAGCCCCCGAAATCAACAGAGGCAAGCGACCATCTCCCTGCCCAACAGCACCTCATCAGCTGCCTGAGGTTTTAGGGGTTCATTCTTGAAGGGAGTCGTGGTCTGCTCCCTTTCCAGCTGTGTGCAAAAGTGCTTATTTCACCAGATCCTCACCAGCATAGTGTGTTATAAAACTTGTTGCAGCCTTAAAAAGGAATGAGATCATTTCTTTTGCAAGGACATGGATGAAGCTGGAAGCCATCATTCTTAGCAAATGAACAGAGGAACAGTAAACCAAACACTGCATGTTCTTACTCATAAATGGGAGTTGAGCACTGAGAACACATGGACACAGGGAGGGGAACATCACACACTGAGGCCTGTCGGGGTGAGGGGCAAGGGGAGGGAGAGCATTAGGATAAATACCTAGTGCATGCGGGGCTTAAAATCTAGATGACAGGTTAATGGGTGCAGCAAACCACCATGGCATATGTATGCCTATGTAACGGACCTGCACATTCTGCACATGTATCCCGGAACTTAAAAAAGAAAAAAAAAAAAACAAAAACACAATATCTACTTCCACTTTAAAATCATGAGAGTTTTTGAAATTTTATTAAATTTAATGAATTGGAAAAAGTACTAATCTTTGTTAATCTGTCATGTGAAAAACGGTATCTTATTGCAATTTTAAAAATATTTCTTCTATTTATAGGTAACGTTGAAGATCATTTTCATATATTTGAAGCCCATTTAAATATCTTTCACTGTAAACTCCCTATCTAATCACTTTTTTCCCCCAATGAAAAAAATACATAAAGCTTTATTTTTCACATGTGTATTTCTACTCTAATTGGATAAATACGGAGAAACTGCTTTATAGTACAGTTATGAGGAGGACAGTCTCTTAGAGTTTACATCAGACTTTTCCTCTGTTTGGTTGGTTGCCTATGGCTCATCTAGGTGTGTGGACTAATTATGTGGATTTAATTGGGTTCTTCTATAACCCAGTGTCTATAAGGAGACATTCCAAAGGCTTTTGTATATTTCAGGCTGAGCATATCTTAGTTTTCACGCCTCTTGTCTGTGTATATGAATCTTTCCTAAGGATGGAAATTGAGGATTTCTGCCCAGTTGCACAGCCTGAGGACGTGGTCTTTTACAGCTTTGTTGACGTTCCCCACTGGCGGGAGGGAAAGTGTTGTGAGACCTGGTAATTCTCATATGAAGGAGGGCTCAGAGGTGCTGACAGCAGTAGGCCTAGGCTTAGGAGATTTGGCCCTTAAGATTCTTCGACAAGGCTGGGCGCGGTGGCTCACCCCTGTAATCCCAGCACTTTGGGAGGCCGAGGCGGACAGGTCACGAGGTCAGGAGATGAAGACCATCCTGGCTAACATGGTGAAACCCTATCTCTACTAAAAATACAAAAAATTAGCCGGGCGTGGTGGTGGGCACCTGTAGTCCCAGCTACTCAGGAAGTTGAGGCAGAAGAATGGCGTGAACCCGGAAGTGCACCACTGCACTCCAGCCTGGGCAACAGAGCGAGACTCCATCTCAAAAAAAAAAAAAAAAAAAAAAGATTCTTCAACAGAGTTGGGTGTGGTGGCTCACGTCTGCAATCCTAACACTTTGGGAGACCGAGGCAGGTAGATCACTTGAGCTCAGGAGTTCAAGACCAGCCTGGGCAACATGGTAAAATCCTGTCTCTACAAAAAATAAAAAAAAATTAGCCAGGTGTGGTGGCATGTGCCTGTAGTCCAGCTACTTGGGAGGCTGAGGTGGGAAGATCACTAGAGCTCAGGCAATCGAAGCTGCAGTGAGCTAAGATTGTACCACTGCATTCCATCCTGGGTGACAGAGCGAGACCCTATCTCAAAAAAAAAAAAGAGTCTCAGTAGATTTATTTTCCTCCCCAGCTCACAATATACATAGGGTTGGCCATTTAAGTATTTATTTATTTTGAAGCTTGCACCAACAGGCAACTTGTTCCAGAACATAACTAGAATATTGTTTCAGATGCCTGCCCCTTAGAAACTCCAGAGCGTAAAGAGAAGTCTGTATCTGGACATGCATGTGCCATGTGCAGTGTTTGATTGGCAGCAGCCTGAATGTGTTAAGTCCCCAGTTGCTCTTTCCCAGGCAGCAGAGTATGCAGGAAAGGTAGTCATGCAGCTCCTTTCTGGCTTAGCAGTGTAAAGCCTGAGAGGGAAGAGATGGAGAATTACTTTTTGTTGCCTTATTTTAGTGTTAATGACACTATTAGGCTCTGCAAATAATTTCCACCAATGAAGTCAAAGGCTTTGAGACGGGAGCCTGCCTTACTCTCAGCCAGATTGAGAAATTGACCAAATGACCATAATTCTTGTGTGTGCAGGGAATCTTGGCCCTCGGGTTGGATCCTGTAGGTGGGTTCTGTAAGAAATGCCAAGAAATTTTAAAGTGGTGGTTTCTGAAAACAAGGACATGCAATTTTATTTTGCATTCCCTCCCCTGCTTTTGAGGAAGATTTCCTAACAAATGCTGCACAGGCAAAGACCCCCACCCCATGCCCTGGCAGCACCCCTCTCTTCTACCCTGGACTTGAACCTTTAGAATGCAGCCAAATTGGAGTGCCTCCTAAATGGTGTATGGTGACGACATATTTCCCCCAATGTCCAATCCATCATGGATGATATCTCTGTAAAATACAATAGAAATGATCTAGAAAAATAAAATGAAAATGACATACAATGTACAATTCCAAATCATTTATTAGTAGATCGAACAGGCTTGAAATTTCTCTGTCAAATTGTAATAAAGTTTCTAAATGCTATCAGGTTTTTTTCTTAAAATAGGCACATACTGTTAACAGCCATGCATATACTTTGAGCAGCAGAGTTTTAGAGCACAGACAGACCTTGTGGTCTTTTCTTCTTTATTTCCCATCTCCTTTTCCCCAACCCTCCACCCGAAAACTTAACAGTGGCGCAATCTTGGGCCACTGCAACCTCTGCCTCCTGGGTTCAAGCAATTCTTGTGGTCCATCCTCCCAAGAAGCTGGGATTACAGTTGTGCACCACCATGCCTGGCTCATTTTTGTGTTTTTAGTAGCAAGCCATTTTATTAGGCAGCAATTTGCTGGTCTTCTCTGTGACCCCTATTTTACATAGAGACTAACCCATTCAGGGTGGAGGTGAAGGGAACAGGATAACAAATATAGCTTCCTTTGTGTTAACATTCATCTGCTCAGTGTCCTGACCCATAATATTATTTTTCATGTGATCTCACAATTTTCAGGTTTACCTGAGTCCAGAGTAGCTTTCAGTATAGCCATGAAAGGCACATTTCCAAGATGGACTTCAGACGTTTCAAAGTAAAACACTTATTTTTCATATATAAAAATATAGCTCATTTTTTCAAAGGCAGTTAATTGCTTCATGAAATAGATTGTACTTACCTTGGTTCAGATGCCTTTAACAAAAACAAGAACAACAAAAAAAAGAGAATTTGAAAGTTGCTATTTCTCCCATAGAGTCTGCAGATTAACCTCTGACACTGCAGAAGGGTGCATGCTTTCTGTTTTGCTCTTCTGCTGGGGTGGGCTTCACAGGGATAATTTCTGTCATCTCTGTGTGATAGCTTGTTTCTATGTCCCCCCCTCAGGATATTTTGCTCGTGTCCATGGTGTCAGTCAGCTTATAAAGGCGTTTCTACGGAAGACAGAATGTCATTGCCAAATTATCAACCTTGGGGCAGGCATGGATACCACCTTCTGGAGATTAAAGGTATGTTCAAATTCCCCTCTTCCCTCTCCAAGTGTTTAGATTTCATTTTTGGAAGATTTTCACCCTTGGCCGGGCGCGGTGGCTCAAGCCTGTAATCCCAGCACTTTGGGAGGCCGAGATGGACGGATCACAAGGTCAGGAGATCGAGACCATCCTGGCTAACCCGGTGAAACCCCGTCTCTACTAAAAAATACAAAAAACTAGCCGGGCAAGGTGGCGGGCGCCTGTAGTCCCAGCTACTTGGGAGGCTGAAGCAGGAGAATGGCGTAAACCCGGGAGGCGGAGCTTGCAGTGAGCTGAGATCCAGCCACTGCACTCCAGCCTGGGTGACAGAACGAGACTCCATCTCAAAAAAAAAAAAAAAAATATATATATATATATATATATATGAAAAGTTCTGCAGCGAAAGCCTGTCTCCTACCCCTGTCCCATCTGCCTAGATGCCCCTACGACTGTCAGTCCTGTTTTATCTCACCAGGGCCCTAGAGACAGATGTTTTAGGTTGTCTCTAATTGTTGTTACAAATGGAGCTATAATAAAAACCCTTATATTTCTCTCAGTATGAGTAGAAATATGTCAGGAGGAAAAATTCCACCGGTAGAATTGCTGGAATGGAGAGCCCGTGCATGCATTTATAACTTTTTTTTTTTGAGCCAGAGTCTTACCCCGTCACCCAGGGTGGAATGCAGTGGCACAATCATGGCTCACTGCAGCCTCGAACTCCTGGGCTTAAGCGATCCTCCCGTGTAGCTGGGAGCACAGGCATGCATCACCACATCTGGCTGATTTTTAAGTTTTTTTGTAGAGACAGTGGTCTCACTATGTTCCCCAGGCTGGTCCTGAACTCCTGGCCTCAAGCAATCCTCCTGCCTCAGCCTCTCAAAGTGCTGAGATGACAGGCATTAGCCACTGCGCCCTGCCTACATTTGTAATTTTGACAGTAACTAAGATTTTGTCAAGATGATGGCATCTTGGGTAAAATTTGGAGATTTGTATGGCTAGGTGATGACAATATGTTGCAAAGCCATTTTGTAGTCTTTTTCTGATTTGGTCTCTTAACTGCTCTGTTAGAGTATGAATGCAGGTCTAATTACATTCTCACAGGGAAAGAAAACTAGAGTGTGGTCTTTGACTCCTGGGCTTAGTTATTTTTTTTTTGAGACAGTCTTGCTCTGTTGCCCAGGCTGGAGTGCAGTGGCGCAATCTCAGCTCACTGCAGCCTCCGCCTCCCAGCTTCAAGCGATTCTTCTGCCTTAGCCTCCTGAATAGCTTGGACTACAGGTGCACGCCACCACGCCTGGCTAATTTTTGTATTTTTAGTAGAGATGGGATTTCACCGTGTTGGCCAGGCTGGTCATAATCTCCTGACCTTGTGATCTGCCCACCTTGGCCTCCCAAAGTGCTAGGATTACAGGCGTGAGCCACCGTGCCTGGCCACCTGGGCTTAGTTTTTATAGCCAAGCCGTTTCCCTACAAAGTCCTCACTGATTGGCCGGGCATGGTGGCTCACGCCTGTAATCCCAGCACTTTGGGAGGCTGAGGTGGGCAGATCACTTGAGGTCAGGAGTTAGAAACCAACCAGCCTGGCCAGCGTGGTGAAACCCTGTCTCTATTAAAAATACAGAAATTAGCTGGGGGTGGTGGTGGGCACCTGTAATCCCAGCTACTCGGGAGGCTGAGGCAGAAGAATTGCTTGAACCCAGGAGAACGGTGGTTGCAGTGAGTCGAGATCATGCTGCTGCACTCCAGCCTGGGTGACAGAGTGAGACTTTGTCTCTGAAAAAAAAAAAAAAAAATCCTCACTAATTGCTTTTTTTTTTTTTTTTTTTTGGTAGGTTTGTACAGATTTTGCTTGGTTCTATCAGGTCCGTCATGTGACAGTGATGGGTACGTGCGTTTCTCCAGATTTTTTGCGGATGTTGACCAAGACCTGCTTATCTGTTTTGTCCCTAATCAGTTTACCTGATGTGAAGGTCTTTGGTCATCAGAGCTTTCAACCCTTCTCTTACTAAAGTGAGAAATCAGTGACCTCAACAGAGTGTAGGTATTTGTTTGCCTCTGCATTCTCTTCTCAAGATACAATCACTAACATTATGAAGTGTTTTTACATACGTGACCTCATGAATTAACTCGAGAACTCTGTAAGGGTGTTTTGCACAGATGAAGGAAATGGGACTGCAAGATTGTCTTCCAGGATCATGCAGCCAGAGGCTCTGGGGCAGGGATCAAGCATTGGAATCTGCCCATTAAACTCCACATTTCTTCCTCTTTCCCCTGCACACAGCCTCTGGTTTTTCAGGAAGGTGACCTTCCCTTTTCTGTAGGTCTGTTGTGTCTTTGTTTTTCTGTCGTTGTTTTTGAGACAGAGTCTTACTCTCTCACCCAGGCTGGAATGCCATGGTGTGATTTGGCTCACAGCAACCTCCACCTCCCGGGTTGAAGCAATTCTCCTGTCTCAGCCTCCCTAGTAGTTGGGATTACAGGCATTCACCACCACGCATGGCTAATTTTGGTATTTTTAGTAAAGCTAGGATTTCACTGTGTTGGCCAGGCTGGTCTCAAACTCCTGGCCTCAAGTGATCCACCTACCTTAGCCTCCCAAAGTGCTGAGATTACAGGTATGAGCCACTATGCCAGGCTGACCTGTTGTGTTTTTGTAGTGAGTTGTCCCATGGTGTAGTGTGAGGAACCAGAGCACAGTGCAGTGTGAGAGAATGTGCTATGTCATTGTTAACAGAGGCCGCTGGAGAGATCCTGCCATTGAACCTGAGACCCTTTTGATTTGTTTTGCAGTTTGTTTTTTTTTCCTCCTGTCTTGTAGATGGATTAATAATTAATAAATCTGAGCCTCTTATTTCTGAGCAAAGTACCCTGAGACTTATGTACCCTTCCTAAGAAAAAGGCAGTCAGTCAGTAATGAGGAAGGAAGACTGTATAGTGTCTGAAAGTTCTTTGTGGAAATGTTTTGATTGGTAATTATATTGGGCTGAAGGCCTTTTTTTTGGTCTGAAGTTTCTTTTAAAATATAAATATATATATGTGTATATATATATTACATTTGTTTGCTTTTTTAGAGCAGGTGTTACAAACTGTAGCCCAGGGCCAAATCTGGCCCACAGCCTGTTTTTGTAAATAAAGTTTTATTGGAAGACAGCCACTCCCATTTGTTTGCATATTGTGCTTCAGCAGCCATATGACAATTATAACAGCAGAGTTGAGTAGTTACAACAGAGACCATCTGGCCTGCAAAGGCTAAAATATTTACCTTCTGACTCTTTACAGAAGCAGTTTGCCAATTTCTGTTTTAGAGGTATGTGCGTGTCTCTAAAAGCGTAGCAAAAACATTGTCTGTGGGTCTTAGTGTCTTACGCTGCACCTTCTAGCCGGAATGGTTTCTAGGTTGCACCAGCAGAAGTTTAGCTGTGAGTCATGGGTGTGAGCTTGTTCCGTAAAATCTCAGGAGCCCAAGACTGTACAGTTAAAGACTCCCATCTGCTGGCAGTGAGCAGGAACAGGACAAAGAACAGTTAGTCTTGTCACAAAAAAGGAATAAAGGGGCCAGGTGCAGTTGGTCACGCCTGTAATCCCAGTACTTTGAGATGCCGAGGTGGGTGAATTGCTTGAGCTCAGGAGTTTGAGACCAGCCTGGGCATCATGGCAAAACCCAATCTCTACAAAAAATTTAAAAAATTAGCCAGGCATGGTGGTGCACACCTGTGGTCCCAGCTACTTGGGAGGCGGAGGTGGGAGGATTACCTGAGTCCCAGAGGTTGAGACTGCAGTGAGCCGAGATTGCGCCACTGAACTCCAACCTGGGCATCCAAGCGAGACCCTGTCTCAAAAAAAAAAAAAAAAAGGAATAATGGGTGAGGGAAACGCTTGAAAGGGTCTCTATTTCTTGGTGTCTCCGGAATTCTGTTTCCGTAGAACCAAAGGATTCGTACAACCTACTTCTCTCCATCTCCCTGTGGAGGGAAGCAGAGTCAATTTTGGCAGTCTGTGAGGTGGTCAGCCATGTTGAGTCCTCTTTGGGTGCCCCACTCCTCCTGCCCTGTGGCAGCTGTTCCCAGTCTCGGTGTCTTCCATTCCAGTCAGTTTCATTCCGGCTATTTGGGGTGAAATGTCAAAAGGGCCATCAAGAATCACAGAATAAGAAGTTGAAGCATCACTTGTCACACACAGTCATTTTGCCCCCTTCACAAGAAACAGGATCTCTCTTTTTTTTTTTATTATACTTTAAGTTCTGGGGTACATGTGCAGAACATGCACGTTTGTTACATAGGTACGCACATGCCATGGTGGTTTGCTGCACCCGTCAACCCGTCAGAGTCTCACTCTGTTTCCCAGGCTGGAGTGCAGTAGTGTGATCTCCGCTCACTGCAACCTCTGCCTCCAAGGTTCAAGTGATTCTCCTGCCTCAGCCTCCTGAATAACTGGGATTACAGATGTGCACCACCGTGCCTGGCTATTTTGTAGAGATGGGGTTTTACCATGTTGGCCAGGCTGCTCTTGAACTCCTGGCCTCAAGTGATCCACCAGCCTCAGCCTCCTGAAGTGCTGGGATTACAGATGTGAGTCATCACACTGGCAGGATGTCTTTTTTAAGAGGTCTGGGTGTGCCTTTTGTAAGCTGTCTCTGCTCTGACCTCTTATTCAGAAGTTTTACAAGGTTCAATGCGTGGGAAAGCTCTTTAAAAAGGAAGAAGTCCTGTAAGAGCTGCGGGGCAGTATACTATCTTTCATTCATACACATTTTTTTTTTTTTTTTAGCACCAAGAAAATGTTGTTCTCGTTGTCTTCTGGAATTTTAGGTGATCCTTAACTTCCCATATGCTGTGAGCAAAAGTTCTTAAAAGGTGTTGTAGAAATTGAAATTCCTAGGGAAAGTTATTTCCATTTCCCCTCTACTCATATCCCTCAAGTAGCTTTTTTTTTTTTTTTTTTTTTAGACAGAGTTTTGCTCTTGTTGTCCAGGCTGGAGTGTAATGGTGTGATCTTGGCTTGCTGCAACCTCTGCCTCCCGGGTTCAAGCGATTCTCCTGCCTCAGCCTCCCGAGTAGCTAGGATTACAGGCACCCACCACCACGCCCAGCTAATATTTTGTATTTTTAGTAGAGATGGGGTTTCACTCTGTTGGCCAGGCTGGTTTGAACTCCTGACCTCAGGTGATCCACCTGTCTCGGCCTCTCAAAGTGCTGGGATTGTGGGTGTGAGCCACCGCACGTGGCCCCCCTCAAGTATCTTGAAATAGCTTCTGCATAACGCTACCCAGTAGGCATGGACTGTACCTCTAAGTGTGATCAGCTCAGATTCAGGAGCCCAGGTCTCCTGGGATGGCTTTTGTGACAGGCTCTGGCTCTGTCTCCCGGGCTGGAGTGCAGTGATGCAATCTCAGCCCACCGCAGCCTCCTCCTCCCAGGCTCAGGCGAGCTCCCTAACTCAGCCTTCCGAGTAGCTGGGAACTACAGGTGCAAGCCACCATGCCTGGCTAATTTGTATTTTTGGTAGAGATAGGGTCTTGCTATGTTGCCCAGGCTGGTCTTGAACTCCTGGACTCAAGCAGTCCTCCTGCCTCGGCCTCCCAAAGTGCTGGGATTACAGTTGTGAGCCACTGTACTTGGCCCGCCTTTTTTGTTTTAAAAAGATGAAGCCGGCCGGGCGCGGTGGCTCAGGCCTGTAATCCCAGCACTTTGGGAGGCTGAGGCGGGTGGATCACGAGGTCAGGAGATTGAGACCATCCTGGCTAACATGGTGAAACCCCGTCTCTACTAAAAATACAAAAAAATTAGCCGGGCGTGGTGATGGGCGTCTGTAGTCCCAGCTACTCGGGAGGTTGAGGCAGGAGAATGGTGTGAACCTGGGTGGCGGAGCTTGCAGTGAGCCGAGATCACGCCACTGCACTCCAGCCTGGGCGACAGAGCAAGACTCCGTCTCAAAAAGAAAAAAAAAGATAAAGCCCAGGTTGGGTCCTCTGGGATTCCAGCAGAGGACTGGTGTGTATGTAGGAGGGTGCTGTATCTTTCAGCCCTGATGTTTGCTCTTAAGGGTTACTTATCTACTAGGATATGGTTGCAGGTGATTTCTGCCCCCATCATGCTGTCCACAGGAGGTCTGCTATCCCCCACTCATCCCCTGGGATTCATCTGTCCCTCCATACTTGTGCTCCATCTCCTGTTACTGTCTCCATGAATGGTTCTCTTACCTGCCCGGTTGCTCCAGTCAGAAACAAGGTGTCACCCTACCTTTCCTTTTCCTCCATCCCGTCCTCTACCAGCAAAGCCATCACTAGGTTCTGGATGTCAGCGGTCGTCTTTGTTTTATAAAAGTAGTTCTGTATTTCTGGGATAAGTGGTGATGGGGAGATGGGGAGAGGCTGGGCAGGGCAGGTGGGCCAGGCTGTGGAGTGCCTTGTTTCTTGCTGAGTTTTAGCAGTGTGCAGAGCTGCTGAAGGCCACCGGCAGTGGCTAGTGCAGTGCACAGCAGCATGCAGCTTTGAGACACCAGAGGCGGCACTGGGACAGTCTGGGTTGGAGGTGATAGAGCTCGGGAGGAGTGGAGGGATTCCAGAGGCATCAGCAGGGCTGAGGTACTGGGTGGCTGGATGGCGAGGAGGGCACAGAGAGAACACTAGGATGATAGGATGATGTGCGCGTGACTGGGTAGGGAGGGTATAGCTACCAAGCAAGCCAGGTGACCCAGGGCTGTGTGTGCACATGTGTGTGTGTGTCTGTGCTTGTGTGAGTATGTGTGTCTTTCATATTTATTTGACTGCAGGCCACAAGAAGAAATGTTACATCCCGAGCCAGGGCCCCCATCTCTGTACCTGTGTCTGCAGTAATAAAGGCACACACAGTGTTGATTTGAGTGCTAGAGACCTCATTTTAGGGTGCTGCTTTCCTTTGATCCCCGCCCCACTTTCCTTCGATCCCCACCCCACTTTCCTTCTTGCCCTGGGACCTTCTTTCCAGCACGTTGTGCAGTATTGAAAACACAATATACCTTCCCTTATTGTTATAGCTCATAGGCTCTTTGGATCCCCGTGTGATAATTTTACTAAGGTCAGGCCCTTTCCTGGGAGCCCCACATGTATTGCTTCATTAATCCTCACAACCCCATGAAGCGTTAGCATTTTCTTCACTTTTCTTTTTTTTTAATCTTTGAGATGGAGCCTTGCTCTGTCGCCCAGGCTGGAGTGCAGTAGTACCATCTCAGCTCACTGCAACCTCTGCCTCCTGGGTTCAAGCGATTCTCCTGCCTCAGCCTCCCGAGTAGCTACTTTTTGTATTTTTAGTAGAGATGGGGTTTTACCCTCATCATGTTGGCCAGGATGGTCTCGATTTCTTGACGTTGTGATCCGCTTGCCTCAGTCTCCCAAAGTGCTGGGATTACAGGCGTGAGCCACGGTGCCCAGCTTCTTCACTTTTCAAGCAAGTAAATCCTGGCCCAGTGAGTTTACTGACTTTCCCAAGAGCTTACCGCATATAAGTGGTGGAGCTGGTGTTTGAGCCCCTCCAGCTCCAAGAGTGCCTGTTCTTTAATCTACCACACTTCACTATCACAGAGAAAAATGTATCAGAGGCTGGGCACCTGTAATCCCAGTTACTCTGGAGGCTGAGGCAGGAGAATCACTTGAACCCGGGAGGTGGAGGTTGCAGTGAGCTGAGATTGTGTCATTGCACTTCAGCCTGGGTGACAGAGCGAGACTCTGTCTCAAAAAAAAAAAAAAAAGTATCAGAAAATAATACCCTTAATATATGTGATGCTTTTGATACTAGCTGTTTTAACCTATTTCATCCAAAAATTAATGCTCGTCAAAACCTACTACATTGATTTCCTGACCCTCCTAATAGAGCTCAAGCTGCCTTTTTTGTTGTTGTTACATCGTTTAAACTTTTTAATTTTTTTGTATGGACAGGGTCTCGCTGTGTTGCCCAGGCTGGCCTCAAAACTCCTGGCCTCAAACTCCTGGCCTCAAGCGATCCTCCTGTCTCAGCCTTCTGAAGCGTTGAGATTACAGTCGTGAGCCACTGCACCTGGCCTCAAGCTGCCTTTTGAAAATATGGAGTATATTCTACTTCCAAAGCGCCTCTGAACTCTCCCCACCATCCCAGCTGCCACCTCCTAGCTCAGGCTCCTTCCTGGACCTTACCTTCTTATCTGGCTAACTCCTCTGGCGTCCTGACTTTTACCTTCATCTGTGCTTGCTTCCCTCAAATCCATTCATGAGTAATTTGAAAAACATGTCTGCCCATACCAGTTCCCTGATTTAAAATCCTTAAACACTGTATTGCTCTTAGGTGCCTAGTGCTTGACATGTGGAAAATGATCAGCACGTGTAAGAGTAAAGAAATAAAAAGTATTGTGTGTTTTTCCCCAGGATGAAGATCTTCTCCCAAGTAAATATTTTGAGGTTGACTTTCCAATGATCGTCACAAGAAAGCTGCACAGTATCAAGTAAGTGTGGTGTGGCCAGAAGAACAAGAGCCAGCTAGAATTCAGATCTAACTCTCAAGAGGTGGCAGATCTGAATGCCAGAGACTTCACTTTAGGGTGTTGCCTTCCGTTCACTGCCCCCCACCAACTTTCTTTTGCCCTGGCACTCATTCCAGCATGTTGTACAGTCTGCAAAATGCAATATACATTTCCTTGTTACAGATCACAGGCTCTATGGTTCCCCATGTAATTAAAATTAACACGAGGCCAACCAGATTTCCCAGACAAGGATTTTGTTTTTGGGGCTTGTACTCAAGCACTAGGGAGACAACAGAGGCTCAAGGACTGTGTTGTTGGCTCCCTGAAGAGGCTTGCAGGGATGTTTTTATTAGCGAAGCGTGGGAATTGACATCACGAGTAAGGTATGCAGGCTGGGCCGGGCAAAGCACGTGAGGGGTAGGGGATGCGGGTCTGCGTATCTGGTTGCGTTGGTTATCTTAATTAATGGGCCACTTGGTGGTCTGGCTGGCGGGAAGAAGACTGTCAATCAATTTTTCAGTGTTCCTTCCTGAGATGGGACACTCCATAACCTTGGTTTCATATTTAGATTTCCTAAGGCCAGTTCCTGGAACTTTAAGTAGAAGGCATGGTTAAATATTATGAAGAAGCAACCCCATTCCATTTCTGTTCTATCTTTAGTTCCCTTGAGAGATTTCACTCTCTATTCTTAAGGAGAAAGGGCTGAAGGTCTCATCTTCTGAAGCTACTTCCTGCTGAACAGGGATGTCGTCCTTGCCTCACTTCGAGGGGTGGGGAAATCTCTCACTGACTGTCCTAAAGACCTCTAGGGACTGGGGTGCTCCTGGGATGGTATGGGTTGGAATCCTTGGGCCACCATTAGCTTGACTTGGAGCGATTGAAACCTGAAAGACACAAACTTTACCAAAAGGTTAAAAACACGATACCCCAAAAGTTATAGCAATTAAATGACCACTTAGGGTCCGAAGAAAGGTAAAAACCATGTCATACTTTGTAGGTATGCACTGATGGAGTCCCAGATGATTTGAGCAGTAGAGTTATTGAGATGTAGCCAGGTAGCCTCTTGGTAAATCTTTACTTTTATTTTCTTTTGGAGACAGGGTCTTACTCTGTCATCCAGATAGGAGTGCAGTGGTGCCATCATGGCTCACTGCAGCCACAACTTTATGGGCTCAGGTGATCCTCCCACCTCAGCCTCCGGAGTAGCTGGGAATAAAGGCACATGCCACCAAGACTGCCTAATTTTTTTTTTCTTTTTTTGTAAGTTTGTAGAGATGGGGTTTTGCCTTGTTGCCCAGGCTGGTCTCGAACTCCTAGGCTCAAACGATCCACCCACCTTGGCCTCCCAAAGTGCTGGGATTACAGGCATGAGCCATTGTGCCTGGTCTTGGTAAATCTTTTGAACTTGCAGTTTAACCAATCTTGAACTGTTAATGTAAGAACAACAGATGTGGTTTATTATTGCGCATACCCGCCCTTGTTCAGCAAGAAGATAGTCCAGGGCAAATCCATTGTCTGAGACAGCATTGGCTAGGGAGTGCAGGGAGGCTTGACGTCCTTTTATGGCTCTGCCTCTACTAGTTGCCAGTGTTTCAAGGGTTTGAAAGTTTCTCAAAGCCGCCTCACAGTATGCAAAGCCATCCCAAGGGGCTGCTTAGGGGCAGAGCCACCCCAAGGGGCTATTCCAACTCCCGCCAAAATTAGCCCTATTGCCCTTTTAGATTTCACATGTGTGATATTATGAACTGTTACTCCACTGGGACTTAAAGTACCTAACGTGCATTCCTCATTGCATTGTACATTATCCACACAAGGGCACGCTACTTGCTAGTGCAAGTAACAGAGAGGTGAAATTGGCTGAGGGGTAGCTGTTGGTCAGATGGCAGTCTGGGTGTCCACAAAGGAACAGAATACCCCATGGGTGCACAAACTTACACAAGGCGAGAGGAGTTCAGGTGAGCAGCTAAGCTTTGGAGAGAGGTATGACTGTTTTGGCGTGGGGGAAAAGATAGCCTTCCTGAACCCAAGTTTGATTAGGGTTTTTCTTTACTGCTAAGAGAAAACCCGGTGGGATTCCAAAGTAGGCGGTCCAGCTTCTCTTTTTTCCACCCTTTTTGGTGACCAAAGCATTTAGCAGCCCAATGAGGTTTATACATTCAAAGGAAAGGGAGATACTTAGGTCCACAAAAAGAGGTACAGAGGTTATTTTAGGTTTCCATACCTCCTTTGTGAAGTTGGTAGTTGAGCTTTTAGGGAATGGAAGAGGCAGCCCCTCTCAGCCTGGGGATGATGGTAGCACACCCAGCAGTTGGACAAATTATGACCTGAAGCTATAATGCTGGAAAGGTTGTCAAGAGAGATCATTTCCCATTTTAATGGATCCAGCCTACCCTGTGCCCCGATGGGGAGGAGTAGGAACAAAGTAAGGAGTAGCATCTTTATACCCAGCAGGGACAAACGAAGTCTTTACCTGAGGGAGGAGGCTGAGCAAAGCAACAGAATAATAGTGAAACAATTAGTAATATGAGGAAAAGTATTGGACTCAAGATCTCTAACCACATTACTTCTCCGATGATGAATTGGTTCTCCTGAATTTGAGGTCTTCCACAGGTTTTCAGGAGGAAGATGGGCCTTCTGGGCGAGTCTGGAAACATTTAGGAGAAAGCATTTCTGATTGGGAGAGGTGTACCCGGCTAGTGATTCCTTGTGACTTGGCTGCGGTTGGAGTGGTCAGGGTCACCCAGTAAGGGCCCTGCCATTTAGGCAAGGGGTGGTTCTCCGGGGAGCCTGCCCTTGCAGTCCTTAGAAGGACTTGGTTCCCTGGATTAGCTTGTAAAGGGGTTTTCCCATCCTTAGTGGGGACTGGTAGGATTTTGTTTCTGTACTCTGAAATCGCTTTTGGAATCTGTCCTAAATTGATACTGTAATTTTTTATGTAATTCTTCACGTAACAGGAGGTCAGTGGTGGGGAAAAGCCTCTGGTAGATCATCTCAGAAGAACTAAGTCTTAGTCTGCACACAGGGGCCCTGCGGACCCTAAGAAGACTGGGAGCATCTTAACCCAGGGCTCGCGTGGCTCCTAACAGAGTTTGGCTAGAGTCGTCTCAAGTGTATGGTTCATCTTAACTTTCCCTGATGGTTGGGGTGCCAGTTCATTATCCTATCAAAGACTGAATGCTGTCATTCAGTCTTTGCATTCTTAAGAGGCTTATCTCACAAGCCAGGCCTGCTGGAGTGTGTTCTTTGGGCCCTGTGCATTGATGCTGTGAGTCCTCATCATCTGTGGTTGGGAGTGAGGTTGCCATGTTCAAAGTCTGACATACCCTCAAAGTAATATCCAGGGTGTCTAATAAGAGAGCTTGGTGTCCCTTGACTTCTAACCCAGTCTGAACCTGGTGGGGAGTCATAGCTTCTGTATATCGTCCCCGTGTCAGCTTAGATGCTTCACTAAACAGCAGGGCAGTGGCTGCCACTGCCCTCCAGCAGCCAGGCCACTTCTGTGCAACTGGATTTATCTGTTTTGAAAAATGAGCCACTGACTTCTGAACAGGTCCTAACTTTTGAGTTAAGACTCCCAAAGCTGTTCCTAGTGTCTCACAAACATACAAGGGTAAGTGGTTTTTCGCAGTTGGGGTGTCCAAGGGCGAGGGCTTGACCCAGCTCAGTTTTTAGGGGTTCAAAAGATTGTTGACATTTCTTCTCCCAGTCCAAGGGCTCTCTTTCTTCCCCTTTTAGTGTCTCACGTGGGGCTTTAGCTGTCAGGCCATAATTTAGAATCCAAATACAATAGAAGCCCATGATTCTCAAGAAACCCTGGGGCTGCCTTTTTGTTTGTGGGACCAGCAATGAAGTGATTGCTTTTTCCAGTCCACAACTAGTGTTTGGGCTCCTAGAGTCAGAATGAACCCCAGATATTAGAACTTCTGTAAATAAATCTGGGCCTTGGATGGGGCTGACCTTGTATCACTGCTCAGCCAGGAAATTCAAGGTTTTAATGATATTAAAATCTGAATCCTGCCATGTCTGTCTGACAATGAACAAGTCATCCACATATTGTAATAAAGTCCCATTCTGTAGGCTTAGCACCCTGCATTCCCAGAAAGGTGAGGGCCTTCCCGGAAGCCCTGGGGAAGCACAGTCCATGTGTACTATGTGGCTTTCTGGGTATCAGGGATTTCTCCATTCAATGCAAAAAGATACAGGGATTCTGGGTGGAGAGGGCTACACAAAAGAAAGCATCCTTGAAGTGTAGTAGAGTGAAAAACTGAGCATCTCCAGGTATCTGAGCACAGACAAGCTTGGGACCAATGTTGGGTGAATGGGAATGACTGCCTCATTACCCCGCTCCAAGTCCTACACAAACTGATATTCTCTATGAGGCTTTTTAACAGGAAGGACCGAGGTGTTGCCTGGGGACTGGCACGGTTTACCCCTTGCTGTAGGAATTTGTGGAGTAATGGCTGAACCCCGTTCAGTGCCACAGGTTTTAGGAGGTACGATTTCTTCCATGGGTAGCCCATCCCAGGCTTCAGATCTGTCTTTGCTGGGGGAACTTTGTTAGCCTGTCCTAGGACTGAAGTGTCCCATAGGGAAGGGGTGACATGATCCTTGCTTTCTTTGGGTATGTTTTGGGTCTCAAGTTCCTTTCCATTTAAGAGTGCTAGCAGGTGGATTCCCTGTTCTGGCTCTGCCTCTACCTGCAGTCTGTCCTCTTCCAGGGAGGTGGTGGCTCCCATTTTGCTTAATAAGTCTCTACCCAGCAATGGAGTAGGACATTCTGGGGAGCATACAGAAATGAGGAGAAATAAGCCTAAACATGGCCTCACAAGCAAGAGGGAAAGTACATTTTCTTACCTTAGGACACCTGTCTATTCCCATTACCCTGCAATTGCAATTGGAGAGGGGGCAAATAGGCTGGGTCAGGACAGAGCAGGCGACTCTGCTGTCCACAAGGAACTCAGTTTTCCTACCTGCCACATCAA